AAAGTTCTATCTGTCTGTCCTTCCGTCTGTCTATGTATCGTTCATTCTATCATTCTAAAGTTCTATCTATCTATCTATCTATTGTTCACTCGTTTGTTTTATCGTTCTAAAGTTCTATCTATCGTTCTATGATTCTATCGTTCTATCAATCGTTCTATCTATCTGTCTATCGTTCTATCATTCTAAAGTTCTATCTATCTGTCCATCTATGTATCATTCATTCTATCATTCTAAAGTTTTATCTATCTATCTATCTATCCATCTATCGTTCTATCGCTCTATCGTTTTATCATTCTATCGTTCTAACATTCTGTCTATCATTCTAAAGTTCTATCTGTCCGTCCGTCCGTCTGTCTATGTATCGTTCATTCTATCATTCTAAAGTTTTATCTATCTATCTATCTATCTATCTATCTATTGTTCACTCGTTTGTTCTATCGTTCTAAAGTTCTGTCTATCGTTCTATGATTCTATCTATCGTTCTATCAATCGTTCTATCTATCTGTCTATCGTTCTATCTATCTATCGTTCTATCTATCTATCGTTCTATTGTTCCCTCTGTCCATTAGGCCTTTCAAAACTTTCAAACAAGAATTTGTCAAGTTCAAGTTTGTCAATTCAAAATTTATCTTGACAAACTTTACTTCCTTATATTCAATTTGCAATTCTTCTGTGTTCTGTTTGTTGGCTGAATTTAAATTCACGAATTGAATTCTCATACAATTTTGAATGCATATTTTAACCTTAAAAGCGAATGACCGACAAGTATTTCAACATTCTCTGCCGAACAACTAGTCAGACTCAGACTCCATATCTTGATAGGACATTTCTCCGCCCTACGCCTTCAACATCACACATACATGCACCTCCATCCTGAATGTGACATAAAATCCACTTCCACTGCCGTCTGGCCTGCGGTCCACTCATGGGTGCAGTGTCTGTAATTTGAGCGATAAATAGGAGTTGGTTTAACAGTTGTGAAGAGAGTTGTAAATCTGGTCTGCGTTTTGTGGTCTCGGAGGGTTTAATTAGTCCACGGATTCTGCTTCTAACGTGACGAGGTTCGCTCAACACCCCTCCATAATGTGGCACAAGCCGAGTGCCCCTCCGTCTAAAGTCCGCCGGCCCCCGGAGAGCCCTGTAGCAGTACAGAGCTTAAAGACTCAAAGACGGCCATCTCAGCCTGTATAACAAGTCAACAGAGAATTAGCTGATGTCATATCAATTGAGCCCCTTGGTCTCTTCAAGTCACGAGCAAAGACTCTTCACCGAGGAGGAGTCAGGAAAACTGTCATTGTAATCCCAGGTACTTCAAATAATCCGTTACTAAAATGGTATTCAGAAAGTTGCTTTCGGCTGAAACCAAAGGGTAGATCTCTGTTCAAGCTGTCACGTGACATTTGTTGTCATTTTTTTCTTTCCATAAACACTAATTACTTTCCTACTTTCCACCAAACGCTCTTCCAATATGCAAATTGATTGTTTGAATGCTGCAAGTCAGTATATTTTTTGGTTTTCATGAACCACGACCAAGTAACTCATCCTGCAACTGCATTTTGTAATGCCTCAAATCATGCATTTTCATTGAGCAAAGGCGTGTTATTGTTTTTCTAAGAAATCGGAGTTATGATTTTCTCTAGTGAAAAATCCCATTTATTTATGTTGCATATATATAATAAAATCAATTTAAATTAAATTAATGTTAACTGGCCTAACCTACTGTTTTAAAATGAACACTATAGATAGATAGATAGATAGAATGTAACAAAAAAAAAAGTACTGCTAATTTTTGACAGGACATTATCTATTAATTTTACAGACATTTCCAATAACATTAAAGCACAAAGTAATGCAGTGCAAAATTCAAAATACAGGTAATACACCTGTGAAAAATCAGATACAGAAAACTCATTCATATTCGTTTTTTTTTTCTTTTTTTATAGGGAATGAATTTTCCATATTGATTTTCACAGGTGTTTTACCAGTATTTTAAATTATGCATTGTGTTGTGTTTAAGGGTTAAAGAAAATGTCCATAACGTTAACAGTTAATGTCCTTTTTCTGTTTTTTTTCCAATGTTTTTTTTCTTACAGTGTATGTAATAAACAACAAAATTACTATAAAATGAAAAGATAAAAATGAATTTAAAATATTACTATTAATACTGAGTAACACTGCAGATGCAAGGTGAAGTTTGCTAATGCAGTCTGTATGAAGTTTTTTTTATCATTTAGCCAATGCTAAAGTGTCTTAAGGCCCTCTTGGAGCAATCTGAGATGGATACCCTGCTTAAGGATCCATTAGTGACACAGTTTTCTCAGGAATCCACCAGGCCACCGGAAATGTATCCATGACGTGAACCAGTTAACATTCTGATGATAATAAATCTGTTTATATTTTTAACAGTTAATTGAATTCATTCTTTCACTTCATCAAATAGTGTGAGGAGATCTATCAGAGAACGCATGAGGACATATCAGCAGTAAAACTTTCATTAGGAGCACAGGAAGTGTTATATCTAGCCATTTATGGTGTCAAAAGCACAAAAAGCACAACAAAAAAAGTTGAATCCTTCACTTGATCCATATGCTTTATCTCAAACCTTTTCTTTTAATGGCTTTGTAAGCTTGATGCTGTTTTCCAGATGGCTATGTACCATTATAAATCTGTCTTGCATGTCAAGCAACTATGTTATAATATGAGGATTTAGAAGCGTTAATCTTACCTACTAACAAAGTGCATATGTTTGACTAATTGGGCATATACATCGCAATGCTGCATGACTTGATATATTCTATATATTCTATATTTTATTAACTTGTGTTCCTTTAGCTCATAATATGTTCTGAAATGGACTAATCGCTGATCACGGCTTTATTTTAGACATAGCATCAAATGGTACTGTTTTATCATATTCGGTTCCATTCTAATGCAATGGTTTTATTTCATAATGTCATAATACCTCAAGCTGTCACATGATGTATAAAATATTGACGTATGGTTTCTACAGGATTGGATGTAATGCAAAGCTGCAATCTAGTGTATATCTGGGCCAGCTGGCAGCTGATGCAATAAGATGTTACCAGTGCTGTGCAACAACAGGCAATGTACAGATTTATAGATCAAGAACATGTGACCACAAGACCACACTCACTTTATTAGTGGTCTGTATTTCTGGTTAATAATACAAAGTAAATGCATGCAATTTTGTTGCAGCTTCAAAATGGATATAAAATTGTCCAAAATACTTTAATCTGATGCTTTTGTTTATGTAATATTCAATATGCTTAGTGGAGAACAGGTAGCACCTGTCAGCAGTCTGCTTTTTTATGTATTTCTCCATGAAGTGCATTTTTGCATTCTCATATATCCTCCTTTATCTGCAGATTATTGGATTAAGTAAAATGTTCTCTACACTGTATAGCACGGTGTGTGGAGAACTATCAGAGAACGCATGAGGACATATGAGTAATGCATCAGCAGTAAAACTTTCATTAGGAGCACAGGAAGTGCTATATCTAGCCATTTATGATGTTGAAAAAACCGAAACAAAAAAGTTGAATCCTTCACTTGATCCATATGCTTTATCTCAAACCTTTTCTTTTAATGGCTTTGCAAGCTTGATGCTGTTTTCCAGATGGCTATGTACCATTATAAATCCGTCTTGCATGTCAAGCAACTATTTTATGTTACAATATGAAGATTTAGTTACCTGCTACCTGCTTCTCTCTTTCAGTATGTACACGGTTGCCAGTTGTTTGACCAAGACACTTGAATGAACATTAGAAGATGGTGCCCACTATATGTATAAGCTGAATAAAATACTGTATTCAATGTTAATTATTTTAGTGTAAAGAGATGCTTTTTTTTTCTCTCAAATGAATAGGTTACAGTGGAAGCATTTTTAGTAGTTTTCTATGAATATGCATTTGGAACGCTGCACATCACAGGGCATCTATTTGAGTTTTTACTCCTTCTAGCGTGAGAAATGCATTAGAAATTTCAGACTTGTTAAATAAATTCGTACATGTCAGGTGCTATTGTTAAAAATCTGTTTAAAACAACGCGGAACTAAAGAAGTTTATTTGGCTCATTAAACTACATATATAAAATAATTCAGCAATACGATCATCCACATTTTTTGCATTTGATGTCATGTCCATGATGCTCACTCAAGACTACAAGACAAGTTTGCCCAAAGTCTCTTGTTCGTTCTTTTGAAGGACTAAGCAAAAGGAGAAAAAGATGGGGTTATTTTGGCGATGGAGATTAAGGCAGAGGGGGGCTTTTTGTCATTTGTGCGAGACAAGCCATTCATCCATCCCCCGTTCAGAGCCCAAAAAAAAAAGGCTGGTCCCAGAAATTAGCAGTTTCAGCTCAGCAGCAGAGGCGTCGGGCTGTGAAGGAACAGAGAAATTGACTAATTAGCAATGCGCACTAAAACTTGACGGTTCTCTCCATAACGCAGAGAGAAAGAGAGGAAAGACTCGCCTTTTCTCCTCTCCTCTTTTTCCATAGATGTTTGAAATCGCAGTCATTTACGCTCGACAGTTTTTACAATAGCCTTGAGCCATAATTTTGCGAGTCTCTCCAGCATCCATACCCCTGCGCGGTCTCTCTCCACCGGCCATGCGCGTCCGTTTCTCTCCCCGACCGTGGATTTCCTATTACTCTCGTTACGACTCACTGAGCCCCAGGCCCAAGGATAATGATGTGTTGTTTCTTGGTAGCATAATTTGTCACACGTATATTTCTTCTTCTTCTTCTTCTCTTGCAGAAAGCACACGGCTCCTCTCACACTCACACACACTTCTTCTTGTTGTTAATTCAGAGGAAACATAAATGATCTATGAGCTTGAATGAGCGGGGATCAATGGTTAGGATTCTGATCCATCGATCATAGACTTTTCCAACAGGACCTAACAAAGAAAGTACACTGAAGGAGCCGCAGCTTTACTTTTCTTCAAGTCAGGTAAGTTTTGGATACCTACTACTAGCATTCGGCACGGGTGCGCACTGTGCGTAAATGTGCCACGGGCTGAAAGTTGCCGTTTCTTTCTTCTACTGTTCTGCCTCAGATTGGGCGAGAAATACCGCGCGTGTTGTTGAACGGAGCGATTGCATTGTGTTGTTGCCGACCAAAACGATGCGCAACCGCACATCTACGGTGGTGGTGATGATGCTGATGTTGCGGGAGACAAACTAATTGCTTTTGTATCGCATATCGGGGGGAATGTGTGCATGCATTTATGTCTTGTAAGGGTGTGTGTGTGTGTGTGTGTTCGCGTGGCCGGATAACAGATTTGTAGGCTAGATCGTGGGCTTTGCTTTTCAACAACCCGGTGTAGTTTGTTTCAGCCCGCAGCGACCATCGGATTTGACGTGCTCACGAACGCATGCATGAGATATATAGATGGGTATGCAAGGATGCGTGTGGTTGGGAAATGCATGCGCTTGCATGCTGCAAACTTAATGCATTTGCATGCACGCACGATGTACATATACCATAGATCTGCACAAATCCAACTTGCATGCATGCATGAATGAATGAGATACCTTCAGAATGCATATGCTTTTATAAAACCGGCTGATGCAGTTCCATGCAGTGTAGTGCACCAATGGCATTGTTTACTCGCAGGAGGTGTGCGCAGCCCCGAAGTCATGTCCAGATCGGGTGACCGAACCTCCACGTTTGACCCGACTCACAGCGACACTCTGCTGCACGGTCTCAACCTGCTGTGGAGGAAGCAGCTCTTCTGTGATGTGACTCTCACGGCGCAGGGACAGCAGTTCCACTGCCACAAAGCCGTGCTGGCGTCCTGCTCGCAGTACTTCAGGTCCCTGTTCTCCACGCACATGCTGAGCAGAGAAGATGGGTTGGCGGCGAAGGACCAAGGCAGCAGCGGCACCCCGTCCTCCTCCCCCGACGACAAGCTCCTGCCCAGCCCGCGCTCCACCATCAACAACCTGGTGCTGCAGGGCTGCTCCTCCATCGGTCTGCGGCTGGTGCTGGAGTACCTCTACACGGCCAACGTGACCCTCTCCCTGGACACAGTGGAGGAGGTGCTCTCCGTCAGCAAGATCCTCAACATCCCGCAGATCACCAAACTCAGCGTGCAGTTCCTCAATGACCAGATCTCGGTGCAGAACTACAAGCAGATCTGCAAGATCGCAGCTCTGCACGGGCTGGACGAGACCAAGAAGCTCGCCAACAAGTACCTGGTGGAGGACGTGCTCCTCTTGAACTTCGAGGAGATGTGCGCCATGCTGGACGCCCTGCCTCCGCCCGTGGAGTCGGAGCTGGCGCTCTTTCAGATGTCCGTGCTGTGGTTGGAGCACGACAGGGAGACCAGGATGCACTACACTCCCGACCTGATGAAGCGCCTGCGCTTCGCTCTCATCCCTGCCCCGGAGCTGGTGGAGAGGGTGCAGTCGGTGGACTTTATGAGGAGCGACCCGGTGTGCCAGAAACTGCTCCTGGATGCCATGAACTACCACCTGATGCCCTTCAGACAGCACTGCAGACAGACCACAGCCAGCAGGTAGGATCTTCTGGTTAAACATTTAACCCAACCGCTGGGTCAAAACAGCCCAATTGCTGGGTTTGTCCCTATTTTACCCAGCACTGGGTTGTATTTAACCCAGCAATTTTTAGAGTGTAGAGCACTACACAACACGCCGTGCACGTGATCACGGCAGGCTTGTGGCAGGTGTCAGTAAACAGATCAATCTCGCTGGTAAAGATCTCATGTGTTCTTACATGCTGCATAGTTAACTTGTGAAGTCAGCTAGATTAGATTAGCAATCTTTTGTTGCAATATCTGCTCCCATATTTGTTCACACAGTTTCCACGCGTTGCCTTATCTGTGAGATCCTCATTCTATTCCTCATAATGCTGTTTCAGGGTTGATTAATTTCTGCACTGTTGCAAGCTTGCATACTGCAGACATTATTGCAGTCTGCAGATGGGATAATTAGCAGGAATAGGTGACCGTGGAATAAACTGGAATCAGTTGTTGGAGAATATGAGAGAGAGATTGTTTGCAATGAGATAATCTTATTTTAAATGTGACTTTTTTCAATTCTGAAATCAGGAATTGCTCCTGGATGCCATGAACTACCACCTGATGCCCTTCAGACAGCACTGCAGACAGACCACAGCCAGCAGGTAGGATCTTCTGCATCAACTTGACACGTTCCCGTAGATTTTTGGGTAGAGAGTCTTTTTTAGAGAGTCTTTTTGTCTTCTACATTTTAACAAAGGGGTTGTGTCCATGGAAACTTTTGTTATAGACAAGCCAAATAAAACTGCATAAGGAAGAAAAACAATATTAAGTACTTGTATTTTCACAGTTTTGTGTGAGAGGAAAGAGTCAAGTTTGTTTTCATCCTTTAGCTTGTGTATATTGCAGACATGAGTATGTAAATGTATACTCTAAAAAATGCTGGGTTAAATACAACCCAGTGCTGGGTAAAATAGGGACAAACCCAGCAATTGGGCTGTTTTGACCCAGCGATTAGCAGGAATAGGTGACCGTGGAATAAACTGGAATCAGTTGTTGGAGAATATGAGAGAGAGAGAGATTGTTTGCAATGAGATAATCTTATTTTAAATGTGACTTTTTTCAATTCTGAAATCAGGAATTAAGATGATATGAAAGTATTATTCTGTTCTATTCTGTTTTGCCGGTGTTAATATCATTTGCTGAGCATCATCCATGAACTTGAAACTTGAAAAGATGGAAACAGCGACTGACTCTATTGGTGTCCTGATGATGATACTAGTGTTGAAGACTGTGTAGTTTCATTGTCCAAGGAAAGAGCTGATTTTTGAGAGGGATTGTAAATATTGAACATCCAGACTTTAAAGCACTTATTGAATCAATGATTTCAACTGCACAGTAACACATTTTTTTTTACTATTGATTAGATATTAGTTGATTAGTTTAATTAAATTATTGATTGACTGAATGGATGGATGCATATTCAGCCAAGATATTCAAAAGCATTTCATTGTTGACAGCAGTCACATGCACAACTTTGGCCAATAGGATAAGAACAAAAAGGCTGTCAAGACCTTAACATGGCTTGAATCACAACCACACATCTGATTTTGTCAATATTCCAGGTATAACCGTTTGTAGCCTGATCAGATAACATTTAAAGCAAACAGCTATAAATAAACATGAAATGTTACCAAATTCAAATGACGCGTTACGTTGCTCAACATATTTGTGCGTATGTTCATTTCACAATTTAAAATGAGACTTAGAACTAGTTATCACTAGTAACTAGACCTAAAAATACATCCTGCATTAGTGTGCACTTGTGCATCGCACACACAAATCCTAGAAAAACATCATTGCAGTTGGGTTAAATGATTAGTTCTAGAAGTCGTTCTCTTTTTGCCGTTCATTTGAGGGTGGTGATAGAGTCGTTCAGCATTAATATTCTCCCATGTTCTCTGCTCGGCTTGCTGTCTCTCTCCTTGTGTTTGTACACGCTTTTACCTTGTCGTGGCATCTCATTCAATTTGTAATTGCTCTGCACTAATAATGGCTAATGACAGAATTGTTAATGAATCTGTTTCCCCGTCCCGGTGTAACCCAGGATTCGTTCAAACAAACGGATGCTCCTGTTGGTTGGAGGCCTGCCCCCGGGTCCCGACCGCCTCCCCAGTAATCTGGTTCAGTACTACGACGACGAAAAGAAGACATGGAAGATCCTTACAAGTGAGTGCCTTGCTAGCGTGGTCTTTTCTCTTCCACAGGAAGAACCCTGCCTGTGTTGGGTTGTGCTCTGTCGCAGAGCAGAATAGAGCGAGAGCTTCCTGAGATGCAGGAGGTAATGATGTATCACTATCACTTTTAATGTAACTTTTTAATCAGAGCGTGACTGCCTTCACACCATTGTGGAGCTGTAACGCCTGGATTCGCTTGTGTGTGTTTTTTATTTTTATGCCTCTGTCTTTTTGCATAAGCGTGCCGGCAAGATTAATTTTAATCTAATGATCTCGGGAAGATTCATCATCAGAAGATGACACGTATTCTTATTGAACTGCTTTATTAGGGCAAGCGTTCTCGTAAGTGCATTTGTCTTCGCGAGCAGCAGGGAAGGAGCGTGAGCGGTTTGCGTGCTGCCAGTTGTTTGTCGTGTGTTTTGGCATGAGGAATTAGAATCAGAATTCTTGCAAGGATTTAAATCACAACAATGTGTCGGAATCTTGAGTATTGACATCATAATCGTAAAAAGTGATGTCATAGTGGTGTAATCTTGGAATGGAATGTGTCATTTTTAATGCTCAGACTAGCTCTTTCATAGCTCAGGAGACTTGGAATGGAAATCCTAGGTTAGTATGTTTCATTTAAGTCTCAACTTTGTCTCAGATGTTTCTTCTAACACCATCGAAAAAATAAAATCGACACAAATGAGCCAGAGGTTGACCTGTAGTTCATGTGAGTTCATGTTGATACACAGAGGAGACACATGAGATTTCTGTCTTTGATCAGGAAACAAAAGCAAAAGTGGCCATTTGCAATTCATTTCTGTCTAAAAGAAACAATTAAAGGGATACTCCACCCAAAAATGACAATTCTGTCATTTATTCATGTCGTTCCAAAACTGTACAGTATTCTTCTGTCCATAAAAGAAGATATTTTGAAAAATGTCTTAGTGGTGTTGTCTGCATTTTATTTTTTTTGGTCTATGCAATGAAGGTCCAATATTGTTTAGTTCCCAACATTCTTAAAAAATATTATTTTGTGTTCTGCTGAAGACAGAAATGCATACAGGTTTGAAATGACATGAGGGAGAGTAAATAATGACAGAATTGTCATTTTTAGCTTAAAGGGGTCATATGATGTTGCTAAAAAGAACATTATTTTGTGTATTTGGTGTAATGAAATGTGTTTATACGGTTTAAGGTTAAAAAAACACATTATTTTCCACATACTGTACATTATTGTTTCTCCTCTATGCCCCGTCTTTCTGAAACGCGTCGATTTTTACAAAACTCATCGGTCTGAAAAACGAGGTGTGCTCTGATTGGCCAGCTATCCAATGCGTTGTGATTGGCCGAATACCTAGCGAGAATAAAAGTTACGCCTTCTTTCTTTGCGTGAACATTTGGGTGGCGTTATGCTAATATTTCCACATAGTGACGTAGACATGTGGGGGCGTGTTAGAACGAGGCGTTTTAGGTAGGCGTGGTTGACTCTTTAACTTTTATAATGAATATCTCTTTGGATTTGAGACTTTAGTCTTTGCAAATTTACAGATCTTCTTTATGCACCAAGAGCTTGTAACACTTCAAAGAGAAAGGAAAAATTGAAATCGCATCATATGACCCCTTTAACTATCCCCTATATTAATATTGCTCGAACTCAAATGGTTGAGTTCATACTGACATCTCTGACTTTTGATGACAGACTTTGATGTCTTAGCAAATCTGAACACAGTTTGAGACATTGTTAAGATCGCTGAAACTGTAGAGATTTCTCTGGTGAAACATCTGAGAAGCTGGAGACAGATCTCATTTGCTCTACTTGTAATTTCATTGCTGTCTACAAGAAACAATCGAGGCAATAAAGAGATCTCTTTGGAGATGTTTCTTTCCTAATCATGTTTTCGTCATAACAAATAGTCAGTTTATATACAGTAATGTATCAGAGTTTTAAAAAAGGCTCTTGCTTGTGATTTCTACAGCTAACTGTTAGCCTCAGAGCTAGCTGTTGATGGTTTAAACAGCGTGCTATTGTACAAATAAACTTTCCAAACTAGTACAGAATTAATCACTTACTGTTTGTAAATGTGTCAGTTGCAATGTTATGTGTATATGACAAGCTCCAGGTGTCTTGTGGTATAGCAAGAGCCTCCTTATTCAAAATGCTTCGAGTTTGTTCTTCGAAAACATAGCAGGTAATGTGTTTGCAGAGAATCTTGGCAAGGGGAAACCTTTTGAAAGTTCAGTTTTATAGCACTTTTTAAGCCATATAACTGGAGTAGGCCTATAATCCTAAATTAAGTCTATATAGCTCAATATAGCATGCAGTAACTCAATACAAGATTATTCTTCAGAAATTATTCTAATATGCTGATTTGCTGCTCATGAAACATTTCTTATTATTATGTTGAAAACAGTTCTGCTGCTTCAAGATATTTATAATGTTACAAACGATTTCTATTTTGACACTTCATTAAAAAACATCATTTAAAAAAAATCTTAATTATTCCAAACTTTTGACCAGTAGTGTAGCAACTAGCCAAGACACAATGTATTATGATTTAATTAAAACGATTCTATAGTGTCTGTTCCTTCCCGAGGCAAAACAAGGACATAAACGGACGTGCAGTCATTTTGTTTTATGGCTAAAATTGCGTTCAGTCATCCAATCACTGAGGTGCGAGACCTACAAAGACACCTTACGCTGCGAAACCTGCTTGTAAGCGTTTGGCAGCACGCATAACATTCATTAATGAATTACATCTGGATCTATATAACTTACACTCATAAGGTCATAGTGCAATGTCCTTTATTTCTGCCTCAGACGTCGAGTCTCAAATGGTCCATGGCCAGGCGGAGCGACCAAACTGCAAAATCATCCTGTGAACACACCAGCAGCCCCTTGATGTCGTTTGGGGTGTGCAGGTTATTAACATTCAATCATAACTTTGCAATGAGCCGAAACCCAAAAGGGGGGGAACGGCGACTGATTAAAACCTTCATCAGCACTATTTAGGATGGTTCTCATGACTGGCTGCACCGCTCTGCTTCTATGGCTTTCTGCTCTGTGGTGAGACTGCCACCTAGTGCACACAGTCTGCTATGGTCAAAACGACTGTTGATTATGCCATAATGCCATTGGTTTAGTCCTTTTTTTTTTTTTAGATGTTACAGCATGTTTCATTTTAAACATACTGACATGAAGAAAACATTTTTTTTTTTTGCATTGCATAAAGTCTATATTTACGACTATTATTTTCATGACAATGAAGCACATTTCCATCAAATCAAAATGCATCCAAAATTTTTCCTTTTTTTTCTTATTTTTTCTTATTCTCAATCAGGATTCACAATTAATTTGTAATCAGCATCAATTAAAAGCAGTACAATAAACACTGCTATGGTGAATAAATACTTAGATTGATACTACAATGAATCAGTGTTATTATATATTTTTAATTTTTATATTTTAATTTTAGTTAAAGTTTTAGTAATTTCATTATGATTTGTAATTTTAGTCATTTTGGGGTTATTTACAAACAAACAAATATAGTTTTTATTCATTTTATTTCAGTGTTAGTTATTTTAGTACATCAAATTAAACTAAATGAATGATAAATATTCCCTTGGCAACTAGCTGAAATAAAAACTTTTAATATTTTATTTAGTTTCAAGAAACTTTTATATTTATTGTAAAAAAATTTTTTTAAAGTTCCCTCTGATGGATTTAGTTTTAGTTTCACTTTTAATATTAACTATAACCCTGCAATGAATTCACATTCACCCTATATCATTTTTTCATATTGCTGTTTATTTTTTATCTATTTAATGATTTATTTTTAATCAATGTAAGCTAGTCATAATGATCCTAAAAATAGGCTATTAGCATTAGCATATTAACATTAACAATGTGTAAGACAGTTGCTATGATATTTAACAATCCTTGATAAGGTTAGTTAATAAAAAATATAATTCATACAGTTCATTGTTAGTTCATGTTAGCTCAGGTCCATTAAATACTAACATATACCATTTTTTATTCAAATAATGTATTAGTAAATGTTGAAATAAACATTAACTAGAAATATTTTCAATTGTTAGTTTATGTTAATTAATGTAGTTACCTAATGCTAACAAATGAAACCTTGTAGTAAAGTGTTACCAATTTACTTTAACCAAAATAAAAATCAAATTTTTTTCTTTTGATTTTGGATTAAAATATGACACAAACATGTCATAATAATGTCAATACACTGTCATTAAAGGGATAGTTCACCCAAAAATGAAAATTTGATGTTTATCTGCTTACCCCCAGGGCATCCAAGATGTAGGTGACTTTGTTTCTTCAGTAGAACACATATGATGATTTTGAACTCCAGCCGTTGCAGTCTATCAGTTGTATAATGCATGGCAATGGTAACAAAATCTATGAGAGTAAAAAAAAACATGCACAGACAAATCCAAATTAAACACTGCGGCTCGTGACGATACATTGATGTCTAAAGACACGAAACGATCGGTCTGTGCAAGAAACTGAACAGTATTTATATAATTTTTTAC